AGCCCTAAAACCCTAAGGGTTTAGGATTTAGGGTTTGGGGTTGAGGGTTTAGGGTTTAGGGTTCAGGTTTTAGGGTTTAGGGTTTAGGGTTTAGGGTTTAGGGTTTAGGTTTTAGGGCTTTGGGTTTCGGGTTTCGGGTTTAGGGTTTAGGGTTTAGGTTTTAGGGTTTAGGTTTTAGGGTTTAGGGTTTGGGGTTTAGGGTTTAGTCTAAGTTTGAAACCATGGTCCCCTAGTATGGGCCGTGAAGCCTGGGATGACTATATACCCTATATGTACCCTTGAGGGTCCCTAGAATCCCCTAAGGGTCCGGGTTAGGGGCCCGTACTTCAAACCTTAGATTTAGGGTTTAGGATAAGGGCTAAGAAATCACATCTTCGCCGTCCGAGATGCCTAGGATGCAGTTGTGGTAGAACCGGAAGAAGTTCGCATCCAGGTCCTGTTTTGGGATTTATGGAGGGCTTGGGGTTTACGGCTTCGGGCCCAATGATTACCCTAAGCCCAAACCCAAACCAAATTACGGTCTCGGGATTAGGGCTCAATGATCCCTTCTAAAACCTAAACCCTCAGCCCTAAACACTTTCCCCCTAAACCCTAAACCCTCCCCCCTAAACCCTAAACCCTAAACCCTCCCCCCTAAACCCTAAACCCTAAACCCTCCCCCCTAAACTAAACCCTAAACCCTAAACCCTATCTTAAGTTACCCTTTCTCTCAGAAGATCCTCGGAGATGTAGGAGCTCCACACTGTCAGCAGCGTCGAAGCTCGAGTTTAGGGTACAGGGTTATAGAAGTTTAGGGTTTGTTTAGGGGTTTAGGGTTTGTTAGGGGTTTAGAGGTTTAGGGTTTGTTTAGGGGTTTAGGGGTTGTTAGGGGTTTAGAGGTTTAGGTTTGTTTGGGGGCTTTAGGGCTTTAGGGGTTTAGGGTTTAGGGTTTTGGGCTCTAGGGACGGGTTTTAGGGTTTAGGGACGAGGGACTTCCGCGAGATGAGCCCGCAATCTCGACCCCAGGGTCCCTGAACCCTGAACCTCAAACCCCTAAACCCCTAAACCCCTAAACCTTAAACCTTAAACCTTAAGCCCTAAACCCTAAAC